TTTTTTCCCTTCCTTTGGATAAATTAAAGATTGGTGGTAAATTATGATTTGTGATTCAAGTTAATCCAATAGCTTGATATCTGATTCTCACCGCGATAGTTCCCTTATGACATCCTGATTCAATCTTCTCTTTGATAAGTTGAATTAGGGGCTTTAGTCTTTCAACACATGATAACATTAGGCTTAGTTCCCTTCAATCTTATTTTAGATTCATAAAATTAGGTTTGTTCCCTTAGGGTGTTAACTTAGACAACTTACAAATAGGTCCCTTTTTCTCCCATGAGAGAATTAGACATGAGTCATCCATGTAGATGAGATGTGATTCTCCTACTCACGACATAGTTGAGAAGGATGTAGATTATTTTCCACTTAAGAGATGTATATGGCGTACTCGTCGATTCGATATCCGAGTTGGATCCTTTTTCTTAACGTGAAGCAAAGATCCATCTTTCTTATGTTTGTGGTGGTTTAAGTTGAGTATTCTTCTTAAGATGATAACTTATTTCTTCTCCTAAAACCAATCAAAAAATATTGTTTACCCTTTGTGAGGGGAACTACGAATGTTCTTATTTCATTCCTGTCAGGATACATATGCACGAGATGCGATGTCTTGGCGAGCATACTTAGAAATAACAAATTAGTTCTTCTTTTGTCTTTTCACCCTTAAGCAAACAAAATAACAAATAACACAATAAAACAAGAGGTTCCTGTAGAGTACTACAGATACTTAGGATGCTAGCACCTTCCCTAGGCATAACCAACCCAAGAACCTTAAATTCTCTTTTGCTTTGCATTGTAATGCATATTTTTGGGTTATTCATTCTTTTTCCCTTCCCTTGGATACATTAAAGATCGGTGGTGAATTATGATTCAAGTTAATCAATAGCTTGATATTCGATTCTCACCGTGATAGAAATGGCGACTTCACTGGGGATTTTCTTTCGAGGGTTACCCCTAACTTGTTTGATATGTGTTATTTGTTGTATATATGTATACTTGTATATATGTATATCTGTATATCTTTATCTGCTTGGGTTGCTACATTGTGTTGTGAGATAAGTCCTAACTCGGACTTGAGTGCACTTAGGGTAGGAAGGTGATACATTCAAGGAGTCTTATAGGGAGTTGACTTCCGGCCAAGCTAACTTGAGAAATCACCACTCAGTTGAGACCCTCTTAAGAGTAGTATTGTTGAACGAGTATTCGTGAAAACATTACTACTTTTGACCTAGGAGCCCGTGACACTGAGGACCTTTAGCTACCTTTAACCTAATTTGGCCTTCTTAGGACATAATGCAATGACTATGAGGGAGTAGTCCCAAAATAATTGATACGTGATACTACACTCAAAAGAGGTTCTCTTGAGAATATTATTAACTATCGAGTATTTGGGAAATTGATAGAATCCGAAAGATGGATTGATGACTTTGAGAACTATGTAAAACCCGTTGTACAGGTATGTTAGCTCACAAATTCGACGCCTCATATATAGATTAAAATATTTAAATAAAATATTAAGGTCTTTTGAGAAATGAAAGAGGTTTCGAGTAAGGAGACCTTCGAGTGGAAGTTCAAGTATTTTGGGACTTAGAGAAATTTCCAAACATTAAGGAAAGTGGCCTTCGACCGAGATATTGGCGGAAGATTAGAGGATTTTTTGAAATTCAAATAATGGAGGGAGCAGTAATGCCTTCCCATGACTAAACAGGACAAATGGCGCTCGTTTAGCAAATGACTACATGCATTATGATACTTGTCAGAAGCTGATGATTTTAGGAGGTTATTGATAGTTATTTTTACTATTATAAATAAGAGTTTTAGACATAGAATTCAGTGGGTTGTAATTTATCATTTGTACAAGTCACTCTTATATTTACTCAAAGTACCCGAGTGTAGAGAAACGAGTTCAAGGACAATGTACGTTATGTAAACACGCCATCTTTACTTTCAATGAAGTTTAATTTACTTGCTTAACTTTACAAAGCTTTCCTTTACTTTTTCTACAATCTACCCCCTTCTATGCCTTTTACTTTATTGTTCTTTCAAACTCTTTTCTAAGATCTCTACTTCTTTCCCTCTAAATCTTTATTTCCTTTCGCTTCAGTCGAACAAACACTTTTATGATTAAATCCCTTTATTTAAATATTGTCGAAACGTGTAAGTTAGATAGATTAGTTCAAACCATAACCTTTAGCACATGTCCTAGGATCAATCTGATCGATCCTGTGAGTCACCAAAGTTAGATTTGAAAGATCAACGGTTGTTTTCCATTTTTCAAGGGAAACAAAATGGCACGCTCAGTGAGACAATGCTAAAGAGTTTTTCTTAGTTTTGCAAAAAGTTCACAAGACTGCAATTAGATTTGTCTTTCATAAAAAATTCGTTATATGTTACTGAGAAGTGGCAAAATCGCCGCTATAAACGAAGAAAGACCAAGAAGAAAATACATTAGGGACATGGCGATAGATGTAAATCAGCCAAATAACCATAACCCTCAAGGAGATGGTTCTAACTCTCAGCCTAGCACCATTAGTCCTCACGAAGGATTGAGAAATGACGTGGTTCCACCCTCAATACCTTTAATTGGAGAGCAAATAGCACCTCCTGCGAGATCAGAACCAGTACCATTAGTGTTGGGGCCTGGGTCAACAAGTGCGAGGACTTACACCCAGCCGGTGTTGGAATATATTGGACCTCAAGCGTCGAATCCCCAAACCCCTCCAGGAGGAAATTCAACATCCAAACAGTTTGTCCCTCCAGGGTTTTCACAACTATTACTAAGAAACCCTCTGTATGGAATGCCAACAACTGTGATGCAAGGTCTCCAGAACGCTCCCCCAATATTCTCAGATAATGCAATGGCGTTGCCATTACAAGGATCAGGGTCTGGGGTGAACATTGGTCGAAATCCCCAATGTTTAGGCTTGGGATATTCCACATAGGGCCCTAATCTGACCAATACTTCGGTGGCATGTTTGAGATAGCAGATGGATGGGAGTAATTTGCAAATGGTTCAAACTTTGTCTCAGACTATGGGCGAAATCTTTCAACCTTTGATCCAAAATACTACTCAAACCAACCAACAGTTAGCAGTATAACTGACACGACCGACTGAATTCATGGGTGTACCACCCGTTATTAGGAATATAGCCATTATGGAGAACATTCTACGACAGGGTTTAGGAAACCTACATGAGCCCAATGTAGAGAATCAAGAGAGGGTCGAACTCCCCAGGCTCGAACCGCACAGAGTCGAACCTCCAAGGGATCAAATACAAATCCCAGGGGAAAGGGACCCGGGAGTAATCATAGTAAATCGAAACCAAGATGCGGACAATCTCATCCAACAGGTTCGACGAAACAACCTAGCTATCGATAACAACCTAGCGGCCATGGTCGAAAGGATAATGGCCCGAAATGGGGTAAACACTGGGTTCACTAGGCCAAATTATACGTCACCAATAGTGGACTATATTCTCCACGCAGAATTACCTCCTAGGACGAAGGTGCCTAAGTTCACCAAATTCTCAGGAGACACGACAAAATCTACTATCGAACATGTGGCTCGTTATATAATCGAAGCCGAAGAAATAGCTAATGATGAGAGCCTTAGGATAAAATACTTCCCTAGTTCTCTCACTAAAAATGCCTTTACCTCCTAACTCGGTTTAGTAATTGGTCTCAGTTAGAGCGTTTGTTCCATGAACAGTTCTATATGAGGCAAACCAAGATCATCCTAAAAGAATTGGCTAGCGTGAAACGTAAGTTTTCTGAGCCAATAGAAGAGTACCTGAATAGATTTCGACTACTCAAAGCTAGATGTTTCACTTAAGTACCTGAACACGAGTTGGTCGAAATGGCCGCGGGGGGCCTCAATTACTCCATTAGAAAGAAATTGGACACCCAGTACCAGAGGGATATGGCCCAACTAGCCGATAGGGTTCGACATCTAGAGCGTCTTAAAGACGAAAAAGCCAAATTCAATAAAAGCAAGAAAGTAGCTTATGTCGAATATAACGAAAATATCAAAGGTGTACGTGAGGACCCAGTATACTTCGACGAAAATGAAGTAGATGTCACTGAGTTAAAACAGGGACCTCCTTACGCTTGTAAACTATTGGCTCCCCCACTTGGAAAGAGTTTTGTTGAATCTGAAAAAAACGACAGATTCCCAAAGAAAACATATACTTTCGATATCACGAAGATGAAATTTTTGATTTGTTAGTTAAAGATGGGCAAATGATAGTACCACCTGGTGCTAAAATTCCATCTTTAGAGCAAAGGAAAAAAAAGGTTTTGTAAATACCATAATTTTTTGGGTCATAAAATGTCTCAATGTTTTCTTTTCAGGGATTTGGTTCAAAATGACATCCAAGAAAGATGACTAAAGTTTGGGGAGAAAGCCAACAGTCAGATGAAAGTCGATACATACCCTCTACAAGTAGTGGACGCCCACTACGCGGAGCCCACAGAGGCACATGTGGTCGAAGCTATTGGTAGCTATGATTTCTCAATCAACATGGTGGAAATTACAGAGGATTTAGTTGCTGGAGCTATAATGGCCAAGGTCACTATGGGTTTTGGGAAAAAAAGTTAGCTGAAGGAGGTTGCTGATGGCCTCGACCAAGGTGTTGATGATTCATCAATTAAAATAGAGAACAAATCGTTGTTAAGATCATCAATAATAACTTTTGTGGTCTCGGAAGCAGCAGCTTTCACAATATCTTTTTGAATGCTAGGTGACACTAATTTGAGATTTCCACGAGATTTTTTCAATACTTTATCAATCTCTTCATTATGATTACAAAGAAATTATAGAATCTCAAGAAAATTACCTTTATTCTTTGAATCCACTGATTCATCATCACCGCGAAATGCTAATCCCAACTTTAATAAAAGTCGAATATAATCAACTATTGCAGTTAAATGAATCCGATATTCCCTTTTGATCAAGTCAGATTGTTTGTTGATAGCAACTTCAATATGTTGTTTTTGATTCATTATTGCATTACATTTTTTCCAAGCTTGGTTATGAGCACTATTAGGACCTTCAAGTGGACATTGAGTCTATCTATCTTTTTCCAATTTGAAAATCCATCAGTCACAAATGCATCCCAACCTTTGTGTTCTCCTATCTCATGTCTCATAAGGTAACAACATAAACAAAAAACATCATCTTTTGATACACTATATTCCAACCAACTACCAAATTCAAGAAACCAATTAGGATTGAACTTACGTAAAGACGTACCAAATTGTCGTTGTGGAAAATTATGGTCCTTTGGTTGACAAGGCCCTTTTTGTAAATAAGCTTTTCGGATTTCATCTGGATCATTTGGGTGATAACATGCCATTTGATTCCTTTCTCCAGGATCAACAAGAAGATTATCTAAATCAACATCTAAAAATCTTTTTTTCAAAGATCGCCCTACTTGTTGTGCAAATGCATTTTCCACTTCATTAACTTGTTGAGACTCCAATGTTGATTTTCTTTTAAAATATTTTTCCATTTCTAACACATAAAAATTTAACACTAATTAGTTACTTGATTCTAATACAACTACTGAACTACAACTCTGCAAGAATAAAATTAAAACTAAAAACATGATAAAAATTGATACAAAAATATGAAATCACAACATAATAGTATAATATACAACAACAACAACAACAAAAAGAATGAAGGGAGAAACTTACTTGAATATTGTCTTTTAACTCTACTATGATAAAACAATAAAAACAAATAAGATTTAAAAGTAGGAGATTTATGAAGAAAAAATAAAGTGTGTAGAAGAAAGAAGACAAAAAATAGAGTATGTATGTAAATTGATTTATAATTAGAAGAACCTTTACAAATACAATTTACTTGTGTCTTTTTAATTTCCATTTTCTTTTTTTAAAAAGTAATAAAATAAAATTAATAGTCAGATTTATGTTTTCTAGAATTTAAATCAAATGAGTGGTATGGGGTCAATATTCCAAAATTAATTATTATTAATTTAGAAAGAAAAATCAAGTGGCGTCACTTGACCCCATTCCATTATGCATGCATCCGTGCCTGCACCTAGGTTAGTTTGTAACCCTCTTGGATCTTCTTTAGAACCACTATGATTAACACCTTTCTCCCTTGAAAACATTCTTTCCACTACTCTCGAAAATCTAGAAAGGTCAGCATGGAGTTTCCGACCTTCAATGAACAAGTTATCCATCTTCAACATTAATCTCCTCACGTCTGCTACCTCAAAGAATCTAACAAATCCATATTTTCTACCTCTCTTGTCCTTCTTAGACAGAATGGCAACTTCATCAATCGCACCATAATCGAAAAGCACCTTGTAAAGATCCTTAGCTCTGAAATGGTCAGGGAAACCTGTGATGAAAACCGTCGTCGAATCCTGAAGGCTTTTCCCATAACTCTTCCGCTCCATATCTTATCTTCTTTTCTCTCTGTTGGATTTCTTACGCCTCACCTTATACCATTTTTCGTCTTGCCTTGTCGTACCTTCAAAAGGGTATTTCTCACTTATGCATACTATTTTCTTAGTGCACTATTCCCTACTTCTACTTGATTTAACCTCGGTTACAGAGACGGAACAATGAAGGGTGTCATGAAAAGCTTCCACTTTACTCCTCAGTTTTAGAGTAACCGAGGGGATAGTTTAAATTGCATTGGTTCGATCGCTAACAATAACTTTTTTATATTCACTAGCGCAAAGAGAAGAATATAATTTAAAATTTTACACCCATTATACTAAAAATGAGTGTAAATAAGAAATATAGTGGTAATTTTTTAAATAAAGTGTCATTTTAAGTATTAACACGTGACAATAGACACCCTATTTTTAAAAACGAGTGTAAATTCAAAATATTATTATTATTATTATTATTATTATTATTATTATTATTATTATTATCAATTTTTTATTACTCACATTAATTTTAAAATGAGTGTAAATTTAGATGGACTGAAAAAAATTATTTAATTTTAAAACTCAAAATATTAATCTTAATAATTAATTAAGTGATTAACGAGTGTAATTTTAGTTAAGTGAATATTTTATAAATAAAATAATCTAAATACATTAACAAATCACAAACCATAAATTTTCTATTCTTCCATCACAAAACACTCGTTTCTCTCCCCAAACTCAAAATCTCCATCCACTAAAAGAACGCTTGATTGCGGGGTTATGATAATGAGGTTATTATAAATTGCTGCAAACTAACATATTTGTGACCGTTATACACATTGGAGTAACAAATATTAATTTACTGAGATAAGGGAACTCACTGAGATTATTATCTCACCCCAATATTGTTGTTACTTTTTAGATGTTGATTGCAGGTTATATACAAGAGGAGCTGTGCATTTATGTTTCAAAGGACTCACTTTATTGTGATCTTTCGCTGTGGATTGATGTACAATGAAGATATTGTACATAGTTACTAGAATTTATTTTTAGGCAATATTGTATAAAATATGCCATAGATATACTTAGTTTGGACATGTGTATATAATGATGCCACTAGGCTCTTATGTTGTGTTAGTACTAAGAATTAACACTTGTATGATATTATTCTAGATATATATTGTACGAGTTGTTAGAGTTTGTATCAGAGCAGGTTGATTCTCGACCTAGCCTTGAAACATCATAAGTAAATCTATTTCTGTCTCATATGTGTACGTTTAGATAACATGATTCTTAATATCACTATATGTAGTATGGGGCCTTATCAACCTAATTCTATGTGCATGGTAGGTAGGATCATGGTTGAGCGACGATGAGGACTCTGAAGTGTTGATGGAACTTGTACTTTAAGGGTAGGCTCAAGCTAAGAGCTAGAAAGTAAGGAGAACCAGTTAGCTCAATTGAAGTTTTAGTAGGGGCGGTGTTTCGGGTAATGTGGAAGTGAAGAGTAGTGTATTGTTCAAGCAACCGTGTAATGCTAAAGGAGTAAGAAGCAAAGGACTTTTTATAGGATGAAATTGTTAGAGTTTTAAGGAATAAGTGAATCTGTTAGTAGAAAAAGATTGACCCACTGTTATGAAATAAGTATTGTAAGTAACTCCATACAATGAAGGAGAAAGGATGGTTCTGTTGCTCATATGCCATAAGTTCTGAAAGTGAGGTAGTATATCGGTGTTTCAGCTTCTAAGGTCATTAGGGCATACTAGAAGAACGAGAGTACTTCTGGGAGTATGTTCAGAATAATACCTTCTAAGTGGTTGAGATCTTGAAGAGATAAGGATGTTCAACATCTTTGTAAGAGTCTAAGGTAGTGGTGAAGTGTAAGAGGAGGCTCGAGGATATGAATGCTTATTTCAAGTGGAGCATGTAGGCACTAGACGAAGGGTAGAGGATAAACGAAGTATACCCAATCATAGAAGGGAGATCAGGTTCATGATAGCTTGTCAGAGATCCAGTGTTAGTAGAAGGATGTTATGGGAATGTTGAATTACCTAAGGATCTATTGAAAGAGATTAGTGTCGAAGAGAGAACAAGAAATATGTAACATCAGAAGCTCTAGTGGGATTGGTTGAAGGAGATTTGTGTTGAGGAAAAAGGGCAAGTAAATTGGATTTGAGGAATTCTAGTAGAAGAGTCATATAATTGGAATTGAGACAATTACCATAGGAAGAAAAGTGAATGCAGAGTTGGGAGTAGTGTAAACCTTGAAATACAACTATTATAATAGAATTCATTTCAGATAAAGAAACTATAGAGTCATAAAGATTTTATTGAGGCTAAGATAGATGTGTGTAGTTGATGATCATTCACATACAGAGATTTCTAGATGATGGAGTGTAGTGGAGAAAGTTAAACCTTGGTATTAAGATAAGTATGTGATAGTAATATTATGGTCACAAGTGTATGTAATTGATTCCTTGTTTTGAGACGGATGTGAAGTATCACACTCTTTAGTTCGAGCAGTGAATCTTGTGTCTTGAGAAGTCAGAGTCTGAGGTAAGTAATGAAAGACAAACCAAGATTGATTAAGGGACTATGTGTGAATCATGGAATGGAATATACCTGGTGGTCTTGTAGATAGCTGATAAGAATTTTCGATTACAAGTCGTTCAGATAAGTGGCTTCTATGTGGTGAAGTGTTTAGTGGATTTTGGTTTGGAAGATAATTCAAGTCAATAAGTATGCGGTAATGTCAAGGTTCACCTTGAGTGCATATTTTATGGTTTTCAAGAGTAAGAGTGGGTTATAGAAAGCTAGATTATTGTTCATCTTTCTTAGTGGTGTTTGGTTTGGTTGATCACGGGGTGTGCTTTGTTGGAACTGGGCGTATCCTAAATCTCATTGGTTTACCGTTATGGATGTGCGGGGTTGATAATTAAGTTGCAAGCTATTGTAAGTTAGATTGATATTTTTGAAATTGGAATTTTGAAGGTGTAATTGCATAGTTGATCATCTGTAGAGATGTCAAAGAAGTCAGATGTTTGAAGAGCAAACCTAGTTGGTCATACTCAGTGTGAGTAAGTCTTAAGGATATGACTATTATGAATAATTAGAACCATAAAGAGTGAAGCTGGAATAGACTTATCAAGTGGTGATCTTGAGAAGGCCAGTTCATTATCTTGCATGTGTTAGTAAGGTGTAAAGTAATTAGTCAGAATATGGCATGGATTAATTATCTCAGATTCATGGCATCAGATGTAGACCCCATGGGAATGGTACCTGATGTATGCAGTGATACTTTACCTTATTGAAAGGATTTGTGAGTTATACTTACATGAAAGAGCATAAATCCGATAGTGCTGAAGATAAACATGTAACCCTGGCGGTATATGAGAAAGAGCACGAGCTAGGATTGTAGGGGATGGAGCAGAACGTTGAGATGAAGGGTTTTGGATAGGAAGTGCAATGTTATCTCCAAATATGTGAAGTTTTGTGTGACTTTATGAGTAGTATGTAGACTCACAATTACATTCTAAATTGCTTAAAATTCCTTGGAAGTGGTGCCTTGTTGATGACTTGAAGTTCCTTGAGGGTGTTTTTCTGTTATTGGTTGGAGATCCTATGTTAGCAGAAACCTTGAATGAATCAGAACCCTATAAGAGGATTTGATATGGAATATAGTGTCTAGAATCGGATATTGTCAAACCAATTTGGGTTAGATGCTTCGAGCACATCATGAATATGGATGTTGTACATTTTTATGGTTGTAGTAATGTGACTCCTGTATATCTATCTTCTAGAGGGTGTTTGTACTATTCTAAACTTTTGTGAGTTAGAAAGGAAGTTATTCTACTAATGGATATCTATAAGGTTCTAGTACCATTGTGGGTGGCAGGCACTTTAGAGGATAAATGTGTTTTCTATGCAGATTATTAGCTAGCAAGAAGTGCCTAGGTGTTCCACTGTTGGAATCAGAGTAGCGCAATGGAAGGTGATAGATGGAAGAACCTAACCAACTTTATAGAGGATCAGAAGAGTAATTATTCGTAAGAATACAAGTAAGACAATCTCGTGCTAAGTGTATTATCTTATTGAAGTAGTACGAGAGAAGTGATGCATCAAGTATAGACGCTTGCAACATATAATATCAGGTAAAGTGAAATTGATGAGGATATCAATTAATGGATTATAAAGTTTGCCTTAATTACTGAATGAATTGTGAGAGAAGAGTCGTTAGTGTTGCGTGTAGTTAAGGAATCAGTAAATTATCTCATGAAGATTTAAAGAGGATTGATTATCCAAATCAAGATAAGATGTCGTGGTTATGTTTTGTGTGACTCAGTATAAAAAGGGAGTTGTAGATTCCAGAAGAAAAATGAGCAAGTGATTCAGAGCGATATATCAGATATATTAAATGGGAACAAGATTAGAAGTTAATCAAAATTTAGAATGAGGATATGGTTAAGACCAGGAAGTTTCGAGAGTTTGCGAAAAAAGGAAATTTTCTAATAAAGACAAGTTGAGAGATTGAGTATGACATAGAATTAACTGAAGCAAAGTCAAGTGTTGATTTGAGACAGTGATGCAAGAAATGTTTATTTGTTGAGTGGAGGGAATTCGAGGGCAAATTTCAATTTAAGGGGGAGGGGAGGGGGTGAGTGTAGCATCCCATATTTCCTTAAATTTTCCATTAGTTATCAATTGAGACCAACTGAGTTCATATGTAGTCTACCTTTTGTCAGTTGGAACAGTTAAAGCTCATATGTGCTATAAGTGTTTTCATTTGGGACCAATTGAGTAACTAGTGAACTCTAAAGAGATCATTCCTCACTAATAGAGACTGGTCATTATTAATAAGTACAATATGGAACATTTTGGTAACATTAATGATTAGTCAATTGATGCTATAAGACATTATATCAATTGAGATATTTTATATCACTATCTAATACTATATTATATATATATATTATTTATATGTTATGTGTATTTTGTGTTATGGAGAAGAAAGAAGAATAAGTGGATGAGAATAAGAAGGAAAAGAAGAAAAGTGGAAGTTGGTAAGCAAACAGGATAAGAATAGAAGAAGAGAGCAAGATAGTTATCAAGAAAGAGAGAAAACGGGAAAGAAAAGAAAGGAAAGAAAGAAAGAAGAGAAGAGAAAGGAAAAGGAAATTGGAGAAAGAAGAGGAAAGCCATCAGATCATCATCATCCTCACCATCAAAGTATCTAATATTATTCACCAAACTTCATAATATTCAAGAGGTGAGTACCATAGATAGAATTAGCTTTTTATTTGGGGGGGGGGGGATTTCATTATTGGGAATTAGGGTTTGTATGCTTCCATGATAATTTATTGTAGTTCTTGATTATATGTTGTTGTTATGTTTAACTATGATGATATTGTTGTCTCCTTTGATTGTATGTGTATTGTTCTTGAATGATACCTCATAGTTTCCTTGATTTGATGTGGGTTTATACTTGTAAATGTTAGCATATGATTAGGGTTTACGGGGAATGGTTTGAAAGTGTTTTGGTATTTTCAGCCTACCTAATGTGGTAATCGATTACCACATATTGGTAATCTATTACTAACTTAAAATTGATATTTTGGAATATTTTCTGGGATGGTAAATGATTACCATATACTAATAATCGATTACTATATACTGGTAATTGTTACCGCTGATTGAGTGGGAAAAAATGGAGATTTGAAATCATCATAATATGAGTTCCGTAACTTCGATTAACGCATGATCAGAAGCGTTGAAAAGATATTTCAATGCTCTATTTGATAGTGAAGCATAAATATGGATATATTTCATTTATGGATATGATCGTGATGAAAATATTGTGAACGTGAGTATTATAGTTCTTGTTTCAACCATAATCCATGAATCGAGAATCCCATGGATACAAGACTAGATCCATTGGAAGGCCAATCCAATGAGTTATTGCATGGTGATGAGAGATCATGAACTAACCAAGAATGCTTGTAGAGGAAAGTGATGATTATATGCCTTAAGTGAACTACTTATGTTAGATTATGTTTAACTTATTTGTGCATAACAACTTGAATAACCTAAGATAATGATGAGTATGTTATGAGCTGGATATGCCTAGGAATCATTGTGACAAGTTATGCTACTATGTGTGTTTCATGTATGATATTGTGATATGCTAATGCATATGCTATAAATGGATTGGATGTTTTGATTGTGAAATAACATGATTAAAATTTTATGAAGATGAGTGAGGAAACTAGGATATAACTAGGTAAATTAATTAGAAAGATAATTAGGGTATGATGAATAACTTAGATGACAATGCTTGCACACAATGATACTTAGGTTTGTATCATGGACAAGTAATTATTTAGCTAAAAATATTAGGCATTGTATGGAATATGTGATGTTGTTGTGAGTGTTAAGGTGAATGTGATCGCCTTGTGGTTGTCGAGTACAATCACATAGTGTTTTATCTAATCACGTAGTCGTAAACAACCTCTTGATTTTGATGTCCTAAGTCATGATACTTATATAGAGTAAGATTGGGATGAATGCACCAATACTTCGCATCAACCAAATGGGTTAGAGTCCTATATGTTCAATCAAATGGGTTAGAGTCCCATAATGCAACCAAATATGTTAGAGTCTCATATGTTCAACCAAATGGGTTAGAGTCTCATAGTGCAACCAAATGGGTTAGAGTCCCATAGATGATTTTGAAGTGCTAAAGAAATTCGAAGTATGATACAAGGATCCATGATCCGTGTCAATAATCTTAGACGTAGGGTTGACCGGGAAAAGATACCTTGGTATGGTTTTCGATTTGTGATTCTTTGAGTTGATCAACTCAAGAGACATGTTTTCATACATTGCGAGTTTTGTGAACTCAAGTCTTTTTCCCCTTTAGACTTGAGTTAGGAGATCGATTAGAAACCCTGTAGAGTCGAGTGAACCCATAATATAGGGGAACTCACTAAGATTATTATCTCACCTAAATATTGTTGTTGCTTTTCAGGTGTTGATTGTAGGTTATATACAAAAAGAGATGTGCATTGATGTTTCAAATGATTCACTTAATTGTGATCTTTCGCTGTGGATTGGTGTATAATGAAGATATTGTACATAGTTCTTTGAATTTATATTTAGGCGTTATTGTATAACATGTGTCATATATATACTTAGTTTGAACATGTGTACATAATGATGCCATTAGACTCTTATGTTGTGTAAATATCAAAAATCAACACTTGTATAATATAATTTTAGATATATATTATACGAGTTGTTACCAATATAAAGTTGGTTAATGAAAAGTAAAAAATTAGTTAAAAAAGTGATAAAGTTGGTTAATAATCGTTCGGACATTAAAAATAATTTTTATTAATAAAACAAATTTGATTAATGAAATGTAAAATATTGGTTAATAAAGTTATGAAGTTGGTTACTCATACAAATTTATATAAATACCCCTTAATTTAAAAATAAATAAAAAATAAAACAATCTTTATATTAAAAAAAAAATAATTATTATAATATTTTACTGTTCGCCGTATTATTGAATTGTGAAATATGATATAGTGTCAAATTTAGTGTTAAAATATCATATCTTTTGCTGAAAGTCATCAACTCAATCTATAATATCTATGTCTACAAGTGAACTAGAGTACATGGAAGTAACTAAGACTACCAAAGAAGCTTTTGGTTTTCAACTTTAATGAAGGAATTATATAACATTGAACCAAAACAAGAGGAATTCATCCATTTTATTAAAAACATCAAAACAATTACAATCCTTAGGAAATAAAATTTTAAAATGAAAAGAAGAAAGATAGAAATCTATTACAAAACACATATAACTGATTCAACAACAAAGATACCTAAGATACTAAGCTTTCTTTGACAAAGCAAATGAGGTGAAAATTGATGCTATGGCTGTGGTTATAAAGCCAAATAGAACAAGACTAGCTGAAGCATTAGCTTTTCCAAAGAATGAGTTTAAGGGAAGTTCTGCTGTTTTGAAGAATCTATGCAAATCTTCTGAGGCTCCAAATGCAGCTGCTGAACCAGAAAGTAGAAAGTATGACATAATCTGTCCAAGGAAACAACCAAATGTCATTTAAAATCACAATATATATATATATATATATATATATATATATATATATATATATATATATATATATATATATATATATATATATATATATATATATATATATATATATATATATATATATATATATATATATATATATATATATATATATTCAGCAAAATATTATTCTATATATTGGAAGACTTATTATGGGATGTAAATGTACCTTATCACCAAAAAAATCAAACTTGTAGCCTCCATCACCATTTAACACACGACTTCCAGATACCAGAGTGAAAATTGAAAGTGCCATTTGTAGAAGATTGTATGCAAATCCAATTACTATTGTTGAGATCATGTATCTACATTTCAAAATTGTAATCAATCATTATTTTGAGACACAAATAATAATAATAATAGCACAGACACCAGAAACAAACACCAAGAATGACACTTCGACATTAATAATAATTAAAAAAAATAAATTAATTAATGTAATCGTACGTCTAAATGCCAGTTTCTGACATTGACACAAAGACTATATAAACTATACAATTCTCACCTATAAGCATGGATATCTTTGAACTTGATTTCTGATTCTCCATCACTTGTGTCTGAAGTTTCCTTTGTTAAAACAATAACTATGAGAGCAATGAGAAGGAACACAAAAGTTAAAACCCTCAAAACTAGAACAACAGTTCTTGAAACTGTTGAGCTTGAGGGTGCACTAGTAGTTGTGGTTTTTGTGTTATTCTCCATCTCAAAACCTTTTAATTCTTAGCTTTAAAATATAAACTTTGTGTCTATGAAAAAATGTGATGAGTTTATGGCCTTTTATAAGATGAAATTGATGAATTTAATTAATTAAGATAAGTGCAAAGTCAACTTGCCAAGTAGATATTTGGAATGATTCTGAATAAAATAAAAATGGGTGACTTTTGAAAATAGTGGCTTTACAACGTGCTTATATTATTGACTAGAATTTGTGGTTGCTTAAGAGTTTCTATGCAAGCTCATGTTTTGATATATACATTGACTTCACATTGGTTGACCATTAAGATAGGTGTAGCATTTGTGTCTTCTGAGAATCTATGCAACTGCCATTTTATGTGACTTTTTTTAATAGATTGGACCGCAGGTTTGGAATCTTGGAATTTTGTTTTGAAGGATTTTGTATAATTTTTAAGGGGTTTGGAAGTTGAGTTTTGGAGGTTTTGGAGGACTAGTACCTAGTTGGTAAGTTTACTTCTAATCAATTAGAATAATAATTGTGGTCGAGTAAATGTTGTAAAACAAACTGCAAAAAGTTTTTTTTTTTATAATTATTATATGTTGATGTTTAAATATACAATTAGTTCTGTCTGAGAATTAGAAATTTTTGGAAATGGAATGAATTTTAGTTTTAATATAGTGGAATGAGTTTTCATCACAGGAGTGTGTGAGAGTAAATTGGTGAAATTAACACGTTAACGCTCAAATTAATGAGTGATAAGATAGTTTAAGTGTGTGAATGAGAGAATGTTTGAGATAGTGCGTGTTGGACTTTACATGGCGTGAGCGGTTAGAGCCTTTCCCATGTGATCTAATGTCTCACGTAGGGGTTGTTTGATATATCTGATAATTGGCACTCCTTCGAGAGTGAGCATAGATCGGGTGCAAGTCTTCATTACTATAAATAGTATATTTTTTGACAACTTTCATCTCACCCAACAAAAAATTTAAGGTATAATGTCAAGGCGCGCCATGTTTAATTATTTTATAAAAAATAAATATCACATATTTCTTCGGTTCTAAATAAGACAAAGGGGAAAAAATTCAGGACATGCTTCAAATCCCAACAAATGCAATTTATGTTTTTATTTTCATTTTTTATTTGTAAATTAAATGATCTATTCATTCGGTTTCCGTAATAACCGAGGGATTAAATAATAAAATTTTACTACAAAAACACTTGTTAAACCGATTTTACCATAAACCTAACTTATATATAGTTGCTCTAAACTCGTACGAATAATTTTTTGGAATGAATTGCAGAGCAGAAAAAATCTCCAATGTTCTCTGTTGTATGTTGTTCTTCCATCTTGAACAAAACATTTTGTCTATCCTTACAATTTATCTCACATAATGGTGTTGATGTTGTTGTTGTATTTTTGGAGTAACCTTCATATGTTGTCAATCAATGAAAACACTCCATAATATGCTCTCTTGTTGATTAAACACTCCTATGCTGTCAATCAAAGAAAACACTCCACAACCTAACCACCTTCGTAACATCATTTTGCATTGAAACTTGCAAAACACCCATTTTTACTGTTTTTATTTAATATTAGTTCTGGTCGAACAAATACCAGTATATTTTAAATTCATGAAGGAGCTTTTAAACGGAAAACACAAAGTAAGGAATGATGAAAATGTAGCATTAGCAAAAGAATGTAGTGCCATCATTCAACTCATATTATTAAGTTATATAAAGTTTATCTCTCTCCTTAAGGTGTACAATGATGTTGATTGGAACACTTTGTATGATTCAAAAGAAACTAACTATTACATATTAAACATATGATTTTTGTTCAATCTACTATAGAATAAGAAATGATAGCACTTGCAACTGCTAGTGATGAAGCAAGTTGGTTGGGATGTTTACTAGCAGAGATCCCCCTTTGAAAAAAACATATGCATATTGTTTTGATTCATTTTGATAAAACCACGACTGTTAAAGAAATTGAGAACTGATTCTACAACAATTAGAAATGAAAAGTTCATTACAAGCATAACAATGTTAGAATGGATAATGTTTGCAATTGTGAAAACATAGATAAACCTTTGATAAAAGGATTAGTTTGAGAGAAATTCCAAAACAGATTCAAAAGGATGAGACTAAGTCCAATAGATCAATGAGTTAGTCATAATAGTAACCCAACCTAAAAGGTAGTAGATACCAAGAATTAACTCTAATGAGTTATATTTTTTCTTGAAGTTATATGAAAGGAAAATGCAAATAAGCATGATTCTTAAAGCAATGAGAGGTTGGGGTAATATAAACTCTTAATGAGGCCTATACTCTATGTGAAATGGAGTACCAAACTACAAAAGTACTCTTTATAAACTCACCTTTATGAATGTAGAAGTGAATCCACTTTATATAGAATCTTGTGCATAAATTTCTAGAGTGTTCACTAAATTAGGATAGATGTAAATGATCATAAAATCACAAGATTTTTGAGAATACACCATAATAAAAAGTTCTTAGTGGATTTGGTGTTAGTTCAAGACAACATTTACTCTTGTTGAATGTGAATTTTACTAATTATGCTAAGGTTCTTTTTTCTTGACACTTTTGTTGATGTATTACTTTAAAGAAGCATTTGACACACTTTTGAAATCTTTTTAAAATTTAAGTGAGGGAATTGTTGGAACATTGTTTGAACGTTTGCATTTAATGTGATAAGTACAAATATTGGGTTGTGAATTGAAAGAACTCATTGAGTTTCACATTGGAGAGCTTTCATATTGTCGCTACTGCGAAAATCGGCGCCGACTGAACAGAAGAGTCGCCACCGTGCGTTATTTATCCCAACGGAGGGAAAGGAAATGCTCGAAGTAAACCTACCGCAAAGACGGGAAAGGAATGATCATTGCAACCAAATCCTGGATTCAGGAGTCGGTTACGCAAGGGGAAGGTATTAGCACCCCTCACGTCCGTCGTACTCGACGGGATCCACGCTTGTTTTCTAGTACGGATTGTTATTCTATCTATTCTACAGGTCTGAGGTTAAAAGAAAATAAAATGACTCGGCAAAGTATCGCACTTTATGCCTACGTATTCCCGTCTGGAACGAGAAATCAGAGTCAACGTAGTTCGCCTACCTACGGGAAAGGAGGGAAGGTTGATCGCTAGGATATCGCATCCTATGCCTACGTACTTTCATACAGCATGAAAGATCAGAGCAAACGTAGTTCGGGCTACGGAAGACACAGATTTGTATGACTGTTTTTTATCCTTCTGAAAAAGGTTTTCTCCTGATTATGGGTCCAAGCGGACAAAAATGACGTTTTTGATTGGTTTACAGTCTTTTACGCAAGAACTGTCTTTTATTGATGTTTGACCTCTTATTGTATTTTTGATTGTTTTGAGATGAGAAGAGAACGAACTCTAAAACCTAGGGTTAAAACGGGGAATCAAAATCTACCCTAATGTTAGCATACATGGATGAGAACCTAATGTCTGTCATATTTCTCTCTTGCGCAGAGAGAAACAGAGATCCTAGGGGATAAACGGAAAAGCAACAACATATATACAGTAAAGTAGTAAAATGCATGAGATGCAGCAGTACAAGCGAGGCAAGGGAGCCCCACTCGACCTCGAACCTGGAAGACAATGGGCAAAGTGAAACAACTTCACTTCAAACCTAAGGGGGAAAATTAACAAACAATACAGCGGAAAAAATAAACCCCAAAACCAGCTCTGACAGCACACCAGCTCCTACAACAGCAACTTTGAAAAACACCCAACTCTGACAGTTGATAAACAGCAGTCTTCCAATGAACCCCAAAGATCAAACTCCAATGATACCCAAGCTACAACAAGCTTCCATCTCCAAGAAATCACCAAGCTTAAGCAAGCACAAAATCTTAACCAGTTGACAGCATCAGACAGCAAATAGCTCCAAACAGCAGTAAACCCTAGCTTTAACAGCTGCACATTTTTGACATGAATAATCTTCATCTTTGTCAATCTTTGATCTTCATATCTATCTTCAATGGCTTCTTTCTTTAAGGCAAGCTCTCCTGGATGATAGTCACTTAACAAGATGAGTTGAATGTTAAACGGTTCATTGACTACCAAAGGAAGCCTACAAACAGTATAACATTATAGAAGAGTGGTTCTCTCAAAGTTCTACCTCTAAGGTAAGGCCACTTATCCCTCCAAAGGAGGGAGGTGAATACCATAGAGGGACTTTATGTCATAGAGAGGAATGGAAGCACATTAAGCTATCCATGTTTGTACAAAAAATTCAGTCTATTCTAAGGCTCTGCTTATTCCTATTATTTCCTATGTCTTCAAAACATCTTCAATCCAAGCAATCTTCATGCACAAAGCTTTGGTTATTATCCTCAACCTTCTCCTTTGATTCTTCATGATCCACAAGCTCAAGCCAAGCCCCATATCCCATAGAAAAGCCCAAAAGCCCAAGCAAGCAAATATAAACCCCAAGTGGGAACACCAAACAAACACTCCATTTGCAAAATATGCTAAAAATAGTAAAATAGTATTTAAAATTCTAGAATTAATTCTAAGGGGATTTCTACCTCTACTCTACATACCCTATATGTCCCAGAACTTAATTCATGCTAAAAACCCCAAAATAAAATGTTATAATGCACCTATGTTGAGTTTAAACCCTAATTATATCACCCTAATGTTCTCTAATCAAAACTAATCAAGATTAATCCACAAAAATGTGGAATAAATCCAGGGGGAACTTAATGTTCTAATCTAGCTATTACAAAAGAATGGAATCAAAATATGAATTTAAATGACTAAACAAAATTCAACAAAATGGATATACAAACTAAAATGCAATAAAAGCAACTAAATGTAAAAATTCACCAAAAATAGAAAAAATGATTAAAATACTATTTTTATTTTTCTACAAATTTCTTGAGATAATTATTAAAATGAGGGAGAAAATCCCATGTCAAAATGATTATATTTGGATTTAATATGAATTATTTTGTAAACTATGTGCAAATGATAT